TACACACACCCATGCTATACAAATATCCACAGAATACAGTATACAAAGTTCTGTTTTTGAAACAAGGTGCAATTCCCTATTCTTTCCAGCACACTAAATTCCCAGGATGCATATTACAGACACAGCTGTCTGCAGAAAAGTTTGACTTAAAGATCTTGCACATTAAGAAATGGCCATTCTACACTGAATAAGTAAAAGGTTATCCTGAATCACCTCATTCCACATCAGGCTTGAATGTCCCCACAAGTCAGAGCATAGTCCTCCTTTGGAGTCCAGGTAGCAGGACCAATGTCACTTTAATAGTTGCATGTTGCTTCAGTGATTTAAAATTCCCTTTAGTCAAGGATACTGTTGATTGTTATCTTTCCAGATGTGGCCTGGGGTGTCCAGTTAGCAGCAGCATATGCACTCTTTGACTTGGGACCTAGCAATCCATCAAGTATCCTGGAGGCCATCCATGCCTGGAAAGCAGTAATCACCATCAGCCTTCCCTCTGCTGTTCTAAATGGCATAGCAGAAGTCACCAGTCTACTAACATGTACAGGGACAACAGAAGATTGTTCATTAACATAAGGTTTCCAATAGAAAATGGAGACTGCTCCTCTGAAAGAAATGTCTTCAAAGCAAAAGAGGCATACACCTCTCCCCTTTGAGGGACAGCAGAAAGCATGAACTCTTGCATAGATGTCTTCATAACATCTTGTTCCATATAGCCTGAAATAGGTTGTGTTGCAGATGAGTATGTCCTTATATACTGCAAGAGAAAAGGCTAACTGTCTTATATACTAGCTCTTTAAATCAGAAAAAAAAATAGAAGTGTTCTCTTATATATGGTCTTCCAGAATGGGAGTCATAGGTTCTTTTTTATGCCAAATGTTCTCCAAATTGCTTTCATTGGAAATTAGTTGAAATCTTTTTTTTTTTTTTTAAGCAAACTGGGTTTGTCCATTTATTAACTGATTATGTTTAAACATACTAACTTCAGACAACTGAAATAAGTTTTAAGGAAGGATTTTTGCTAATGGTGTATACATTCATCCCTCTTCTACCTTTAAATAGATTCCATAAATCTTCAGTATTTCAAAATACTGCATATTTCCTTAACAGAAAATGACATTGGGACAAAAGAGAGATATTTGTGCCATGGGAAGTAAGGTACCTCTCAACTTTAGCTATCTTAAAAATAGATTTGCTTCTACTGTAAAATTGTTAATCTGAACCAAATCATGACTTTAAAATACTAGGAGTAGCCTTCCTGCTTTTAATTGTTTAAGGGAAGCATAATGTGTTTTCTGTAATATTTAACACTCACATTATATAGAAGATTGAAATGCCTTCTCTATGAGAATTTGTATATATGGTATATTCAAATAATGTGTTTCACATTTCACGTTGTTCCAGTTTGGGAATTTTATTATCTGTATATAGAAATTGGAATGAAAAGACACTTGCACTGTTTAATGACATTTCACATGTTTTCATTTATATATATATTTGTATAAATGTTCTTTTTTCTCAATAAATATGGCTTGTGTCTTTCATAGCTGCATAGTTCACAAGCCAAGTGTTGCTAACCCTAACTGCCAAAGCATCATGAAATTACTGTCCAGATTTGAATATAGGGAGAGAACATTTCCTTCTATAAATGAAAAAAGTATTGTCATTTTTTTTGTCTTAATGGTTTTAATAAGTGTTTCAGATAGCGAATTACTCGTTCTCTGCTTTTGAATGTACTTGAAGCATCTAACGCTCAACCAATTATACACCCGTCCGAAGCATTTAAAAATAAACATAAGTCATTAAGTTGAAATAAATCTGCACTGTGAACTTCTGCATTAAAATATTAATTAGCAAATGTTTTCCTAAGTAACCATTTTTTAAATATAACATACAGTGAGAAAATTGATCCTTTTTTAGTAGAGGATTTCAAAGCAGTAGCATCAGTAAATACCACTACTGAAGAGCTGAAACTTGGCATTTGTGAGAATAACATTATTACCCCTTTTCTTTATTCCTTTGTTTATTTTTTTTGAAAAAGCTGCAAGGTAGATTCATGAATCTGTGGAATAATGGGAGAGAGAGAGAATTTCATGTTAGCAACAGAAGTAAGAAGAAATAATTTAGGAAGTGACAAGGTACAATGAATTATTCAACATTTTGCCAATACTGTATCCTTGATCAAAACCCCTCCTTCTTTAAATATTGTTTGGATAGTCTGTCCAGAGGTCACCATCCATTTAGTGGGCCAGATCCGATGCTATATAAATCTAATTCAACCCATAGCGTCCAGATAGTCCATTCTGATTTATTCCTGGTTCTGGACTGTTGTTTAGCAGTTCTTAACGGGGAAGATTCTTTTAAAATCCATTTTTCTCTTAGAACTATGCAAAACCTTTCAATTTTGAAATGTTCTGAGCTTAGAACACATGCTTCAAGTTCAACATGGGCTGTTTCTACCTCATTGAAAATGTTCTTAGGCCTTAGTGGAAGAGTGTGAACAGAGTTTGAAACAAGATTATTTTGAGCCTGCAACACTTTTGGTGTAGTTTGAACAAGTCCAGTATGATTGGAACAGCTCCTTTCAGTTCAAAACATCACACATTTGAAATATTTTTTTCATACTTTTAAATTCTTTCTGTTCTTTATCAGAAAAAAAATGGTGGCAGTCTTTGGCGATGCCAAGTGGGCAGAAACATCTCCATTACATGTTCATCAGGGCTCTTGGCTTCAAGTTTCCTGAGAGAGGTTGTACATAAAGAGATGGATGACAGTGATCTCAGCATAATATCTTGTAGCCATTTCATTTCATTCCTCTTTGTACTATAGCAATCCCTAGCTCAGAATACTTCCAAAACATTTCAAAAGCTTCCAGTAAACTTCTGAGGATGCAATCAGAGATTTGCTTCTGCCTTCCCTTCAACCTTTGGCTGGTCAGAGAGAATTTTTTATTTCCTTACTCACTGATTTGCCACTCATCCAAAGGCAGAAATTCAAGTGTTGTACTGGAGATCGCAATGCAAAAAATCATCAATGTGTTGATCCCTGAATTCAGTTCTCTGATTCTGTTTTCTCCGCTTTCTCATCAGGGCATTTTATATACCCAAAGGTGAAAGGTGTTTGTTTTGATTCCACTATGGCTGCTAAGGTGTTATCCAAATCAGCAATTTGTGGGCTTTCTGAAATGAAACAGAAGCTGTCTCAAATTGAGACAGAGTTTGGCTGTGATCTGGGTCAGAGCACAGTTTGTTCTTAGTGAGGTCTAGTCTTTAGAAAATCTTACGTGAGTAAACAAAGGAAATGGCCTGAGACACTTGTCCATTAAAGTGTAGAGTATACTAAGTATATAATCAGCTTTCTTGATGGAGCTTCTGGCAACCATATATGAACCTTCCATTATTAGAGAGCAAAAAAAATGTTTTTTACTTTGAAACAATATATAAAATAAAATCTCAGATTGTTTGATTCTTAAAATTTATCCTGTAGTGCTACACTAAACAGCAGTATAAGGCACGAATATTATAGTTAATGTTTACTTCCTGTTTTATTTATAGTTCTTCTAGGCTACATGATTTGCCATGTTTTTGCTGGAAACCTGTAGCTATTACTCTAAAAAGCTTCCCTTAGGGCCTGGGAGCCTGCTTGAGTTGTTAATTGCATATTTGCTCAATTCAAGAGCCAAAAATGTGGTGGAGAATATGATCAGAGGAGTTTCTGGTATCTTCATTAACTCAGGTAAGCAAACTTCCCCCTGGGTTGTGAAGAGCACTAGCATGACCTTTGGCAAAGCTGTGTGAATTCAGGGCATTATGGATTTTGCAACACTAAAGTGAAAAAAAATAGTTTGAGAAAAAGATTCTGTTAACTTTTTCAGCCAAGAAAAATAATTGCTTACTATGACTTAGTTATTCTGGCAAGCCTTGGGGGTTAGGGTGCTGCAACATTTCCTCTGGCTATTTGATGTAATTTTTTTTTAATCTAACTCATGTTCCTGGTTTTTATATATGTTGATACAGTTTTGATTTTATTTTGTATTCTTACATTTTTAAGCTGATTTACAAATGTCAGGTATGTATGCCACTCAGAGTCATCAGCAACTGGAATGTTAAGGAAGGAAAGAAGGAAGGACCAACCAGTGGATCAATAGGCTTTCCCTAAGAAGTGAAAGAACAAGAAGGGAAGTGCTAGGACATAGTGACACTGTCTTACTGGACGCAATAAGGATTGATGGTCAGTGGCACAGAGTTTGCCATAAAAGGTACAAAATTTTATAGCAGTATCACAGAAAGGAAAAGCAGGTTGATTTTACTAGTGATCATGGTCACTTGGAAACTCACAGTGGGTGTACTCCCCCTCCTTGATTTCTATCAGCTCCAGAACCATACCATATTTGGGCTTAGTCTGAATGGAATAACCATCTCTGATACAGCATTTCAGTTTCCAAATTCACTGAGTTTGAAAAAAAAATAGAAACAAGCAGCTGAATCCTGAATCGCAGAAGTCAAGAGCATAATATAGAGGTGCACACTATAAAGAAAACCTGAGCAAAAGCAACAAACATGTAAAGACACAAGGGACCTAGGAAGTGCCAGCAAGAGGGAAGTTTGCTGCATTTGAGATTTTGAAAAACCTCTGTACAATGCCTATAATTCCCAACATGGCCACCAGCAGGCAAACTGCTGAGTTTAAAATATACAATATTTACAAGCCTGTTTCCCAGCTAGGAGACAGAGTTGCTGTCTAGGAAGAAGGATGTAGGAATTCAGCACTATGCTGCGATGAGTACTACAACCCAATGATGATGAATCTATGATTAAATTTTGATTTAGATCTTTCCCTGACCTGTGCATGCAAAGTCATTGTGTAAAATGAAATCAAGCTGTAGTACAAGCATTGGGTTTTTTATTGATCTAATAGGGTTTGATTAAATAGGTAGGTTGATAGTATTTCTCTCACCTATGTTATAGAATACAGAGATAAATCAGCTATCATCAGAATCACTTCATTTGCTAGCAATAGGTGTCCCTACTTCCCAGTAGGCCATAGAGCCTCAAACTTTTTAAACGGGGCCAGTTCACGGTCCCTCAGAATGTTGGGGGGTCGGACTATAGTTTGAAAAAAACATGAGAGGAGGAGAGCCGCCGGACCCAGCATACCTGTCATGTAGAATAGCCCAGCTCTGCGATCTCCCTCCTCGTGCATCACCTCCAGCTCCCGACACAGCCCTGACACTCCCGCTTCTGACA